GAAACTATAAAAAAATACCCACATTAGGAGGTTTTTCAGTCTTTAACCGCTCGTATCTTTCCTATTCTCACTCAAAATGCCTCAAGTTTTCTTCACTCGAAAATGCGAGGAAGCATTGAGCGGGTGAAACAACACAAGATACAATACATAAGGTTTCTATCTTTTTTTTGCTTAAAATCCAAATATTAATGAGCTGGTGAAACGACACAAGAAACCGTTTTGGGCGAAGTGTAGATTTATCACTGATTTTTACGTTTTTCGGTCTTTTTCGCATGATAACTTCCACATTCTGGCTCAAAAGTCCACAAATTGTGTGTTGTTCTGTTTTTCAGAATGTCGGAAACACAATATGCCAATGAAACAACAGAAAAACGGCCGAAGTAAAAGTGAAAATAACAGAAAATACCCACATTAGGGAGTTTTTCAGTCCTTAAGCGCTCACAACTGCCCTATTCTCACTCAAAAGGCCTCAAGTTTTCTTCGTTAAAAAAAGCGAGAAAACATTGAGCGGATCAAACAACACAAGAGACAATTGTGGTCCAAAAGATATAAAATTTGGCAAATAATGGAGCTGGAAAGTGTGTCGGTCTTTAACTACTCTCATTCAAAGTGTGCCAAATTCAATGATTTTCTTTGTTAGAAAATTGAGAAAACTATGAGCCGATCAAACAAGAGAAGAAATAATTTCGATTCAATTACAGTTTTGGTTTTTTTCTCGTTAAAAATGCATGAAATCCCATATTATTGTTCTGGTCAGCGAGGCAAAAAATGATCGGATGATGCAACAGAACAGTCATTTTGATCCAGAAGAAGCGAAAAATTGGCGTTCATTTTGAGGTTTTTGAGGAAAATCAAATGAACATTCGGACACTGAATATTTTTACCCGAGGCTTGATGAAGAATGAAAACAGCAATTTAATCTATAAATATGTACAGGGTATTGAAAGTGACTTGGCTTCAACGCACTAAAACTTTCAAATGAGGCACTTTAACTGCAATAATCGCACTTCCGAAGAAGTTGCAAATTGTTAGTGAACCAAACAAAATTTTCAATGGCTTGGGAAATCGAGCTCCAAACTAACCATCAGGCTTTTGTCTTTTGAAAGCAAAATGAGGATCAAATGTAAAAATCCAAACGGTTTCCCAGCACCGGTAGGTAAACAGGCACCTTTTTATCATGCCCATGGTTAATTGGGCGCAACCTAGATAATAGATAATGTCCCATTTGAATTAATTCGAGTTGCCCGATAATCGTTTCCTTCCTCAATAAACACGATGACACGATGAATTTCCAGTCGATTTTTCGGCTCTAATTGCCGAATTTACGTTGTTGAAACGAACGAACCGAACGTTTGCAGTGGATTCGGGCCTAGGAATAATCCCGAATAAACACAAACAAGATAAGTTCCTTTGGGCGGCGTCCCGAAAAGCAATCGTTGTAAAAACCGGGCAATTTTTTACGCAAACGAAGGGCAGGAAGGCAGGAGCGGAAAGCGACGACGAAATATAGAACGAAATCTCGAAATTGCCGCTCTCGGGCATTCGAAAAAGCTTTTGTGCCTTTGATGATTCTCCTGCATCTCATTTTCGCGTATGTGAGAATCGAATTTGACGGCAAAGAGTGGTGAATACCAATCGAGGGCTTTCTCGAACGCGGAGTGTCACTTCCTCAAGCCGTTCCCCTTGCGCCCCCGAGAGCCTCCCACGCCCTCTATTTGTCTTTGGCATCCCTTTCCCATTCAGGCTCTCTTCACTGTTTTCGCATTAGCTTTCTTTGTTTCAGCCGTCAAATTAAAACCAACTCTCTATCCAGATCTATCCGGGAATGTCGTCCAGCAGCAGCGGGAGAAACGGGCGGAAGTCGCTCCCGGTCCCCCCCATTTCAAGTCGTTTTAACTGCCCCTAGTTTAAGAGGAAAACGCCGATCGGGGATTAATTTAGATTGATCCGAGCGAATGGCGGACACGGGAATTGATTAGGCAATCTGTTTTAACGTGTCCGGTCAACTAGCTCGTGTCCGGTCCAAGGGACGAAGGCTCCACTTCTGGAGCCAGTGCCGTATTTGCTTTTCCATCTTTTCCCCGCCGTTTTTCCTGGTTCAGTTCCATTTCCTGTCGACTGGTCCTCGTAGGTTAACTGGCTGTCGCGGTTTCCATGGAAATGAGTGACTCTTGGCCAATCAGGGCGCTACACATTGTATCAGGACTGCGCACATTGTCGATGTTGTGATATTTTCAATTTTTTCTATTGCTTATCTTCGCGTCTTTCACTTTGCTTGGCTCGACTGGATTTTCTGAACTTCCAAGTATTGAAATCAAAAGAGATAGACTTTTGAGGCCATTTCTTGAAACTAATGGGGTTTTCGGGTTTTTAGGCCGTCGTTCGGTAGAACTTCTTCTTGACGTTTCGCAAGCACGAGTGGCTTGCATCTTCAGAAGTGGTTTGCTTGAACGCTTACACTGTTCTCATCAGAACCCGAGTTCAGTTCTGCGGAAGAACTGAACGGGTTCTGATGAGAACAGTGTAAGCGTTCAAGCAAACCACTTCTGAAGATGCAAGCCACTCGTGCTTGCGAA